CAACGTTATATATGAACATGTGATCCCATCTGTTATTGCCATTTTCCGTAGAAAAACGTCATTACAAATGAAAAACGTCATTACAAATTAATATTATTATTAATTCAAAAAGTATACTGTTTGTTAATATACCTAATTATATCACAAACCTCAAAAATTGTAATAGCAACTGCTATGTATAAGAAAACTATAACCAAAACAAAAAAATAATAATTTGAATCGGCCGTCCTTTTTAATTGATACCACTATGTAATTGAATGTGCTTAAATCTCAATGGCGAAGGTGGCCCTTTTCAAGTGCGAAAATTTTGGAAAATAGCAATTCCTCCTAGCCCTATTAATTAGTATCTGCACCACAGAACTAATTCGATTTAAGAAAATAAGTGCATATCTGTCATAAGTTATCCAGGTCAATTAGAGAAGTTTACAGCATAAACCAATCTATGTCGTTGATCGTTGACCTACTTGCCGGAAAACACTTTAATTAGCACAAGTATCTCAGTGCATTTCTTTTATTGCTGCATCTTTTATGAATTGAATTGAGAAATTGTATTTCACAGTTATCAAACGCTTGTATCTAAACATAAATTAGTGGTCGCCCAGTGGTCGAAATTCGAACATAACTAATTATATATGGTAGTGTGTGTACCGCTTTTATTATTGATTTAATGTATTTTTTATGCATAATTAAAAAAAATGTTAGCATTCTGCACTCCTTTTCCACATAAACTATAAGTGTGGGAAATTTTACTCTCCTTCGTCCGCGGAATTTTAATAAAACGGAGTACAAAGTTTTTGATTCACGTATATAGATTAACATTTGAATCTTGGTCCAAAATAAAATAGATACAAGTTACACACATTGTGAAAATGGTGCTGATGGCTCAGCTTAGGCAGACCACAAAGTTAACATGTTCCATTCTTGCTCTTAAAAAGTGTTAGTATGATTGTCTAGTTAACAATATTAATGATTAAAATTTCGTGAATATGTATAAGAAAAATTGTCTCTACAACAATACGATAATTAAATCGTGAAAGAATTAAATTAATTACAATTAATCAATTAACGAATGCCAAGAAGTATTTTTATTGAACAAGTCATCTGTGGAGTTTACTGTCCTTTAAAACAGTGCTGATAATAGAGCACTAAATGGAATAAAACCAGTGTAAAATATCCTTAATACTACTAACTTGTACAATTAGTACATGAGCAGAAGAAACAGATGCTACTTTAAAGTGATCAAACGCTATCCCTATTATTACAAAGAATGGAAAATTGTATTTCACATTCATCAAATGTATGACTGGTGATTATTTTAATGTTGGACAAATATCTCGCTTTTGTATTCCCAAAATAGAACAAGAAACGCGAATATCTTAGTCGATACTGAACAGCATTCTTAGGCTCAAAGTGAGCAACCGCACTGTAGATGCATGCTGCGAATTTGTCAACACGGTCTTGCGGATTTCAACGTCCGTTTAACTCCTTTTATAGTCTTGTCAAGGCTCGTTAAGCACCATAATACGGGCGGAGATTAGAGATATACATATTATAGACTTTTAAAAACAAAAGAAAATCTTTTCGTTAATGCAATTTACAACTTCAAAAAATGTTTATTAATAAATAATTTACAATCACCCTCAAAAATGGAAAACCTTAAACAAAAATAAATTCAAAAAATAAACACATGTTTTGTTACAGCGAAACATTGCGAAGAAGTTATTATTCATCGATACTGTCTCATAAAGAGTTTGTAATACAATTATTATTTAAAGAGCAATCTGAGCTTACCAAAACATTTTCGTTAAATAGCCAAATGTGACAAAATCTTTATTGAAATTATAACGTCACATTAAATGTCACATTAAAATGTTAAAATAACAAGAAGAGTGCACACTTGGCACAAGCAAAAAACAAAAGTCCGATAAAATAAAAAAGGGAATATTTTCACTTTATCATGCTGGAGTTGAGAATTTTCAATCCTTACTGAGATAAAATATTCCATTTGTTAATTCATAGTCGTCGAAAACTTCCACCTTGGAAACTTGCAGATGCCTGGAAGCGACTAAACACGTGCACATTGCACTCACCTTTAGTATTTCAAAAACATTCAAATTGAAGCATTCCCATTTTTTTATTGCCTAAGGTGATGCGTTTTCTATTACTCGTTTCTATGACTATGAGTATCTCCGGGCATGTGAACCAATAAAATTCGAAGGCGTATAATTGGCCTCGACGTCAGCAAACGCTAAGATTTTTTTAATATGTGTAAAATTTTTTTTAGTTTAGAGACTTTATTAGTTTAGAGAGACTATATTTATTTGTTTGAAGTATTGTTTTAAATATAACCTCGCCTCTTTTAAAAAAGAGTGATGAAAAAACAAGCTTTTCTTTGTAATGTAAACTTGAAAGAAAAAAGTATTTTTTTTATATTAATTAGTTTGAACCCTTGTTTCTAATTGATATCACCGTAAGGGTAAATTAATGTGAATGAATGTAATCGAAAAGTTTTAAAATAATTTACTTAATGAATAACACAATTTTCCAATATTCAACTATACTTTTTTGCAATAATCTGAAGGGAATCTGACTGAAACTTCCAAAGGTATTGTAAGTTTTTACACGGGTGAGGAAAAATATATATAAATTTATGCAACTCTGGGCGAGATTGATAGCGAAAGCACCCTCTTAAAAAATCGGAGGAAATCGTTTCACTCCTAAGTAAGTGAAATTCATCGGTGTAACATTGTACTGTGAACGAAATTTACCTGCATATGCTTTGCCTCCTCTGAATAAAAAAAAAATCACGCCGGTTGTCTGTGCGATCGTAGTATTTACAATACTGAATACTTAGTGTAGTTAGTTATATACCATATAACTATACATGTTCTATATGGTATATATACCATATAGCACAATTAAGTTTGCGCAAACCCAATTTACAGAATGTGTTCCATCTACAATAAACTTGCTAGCAGCAATCAATTCATTGATATTTTTTACAAAAAACTGAGTGCATTCAAACAAATTATCACATGCCCATAATGTGTTTTGTTTTTTTCCCTTCTCTTATTTTTATAGTATTTTTTTATTTTGTTTTTAGCAGATTTTGTTTATAATTTTTTTTTTATCTAGTGTAAATTAAGTTGAAAACATTTTTGCACAAACATATCGTAGCATGTTGTGTACGCATAGTTTTGGCTGACAGTATGTAATTGTTTACCTTATTGAACTTTATTGTGATGTGTATATTACTGTTTGCTGTAAAGTTAAAAGACCAGCACGAAATGTGCTATTAAAAAGATATTCATGGCGTATATAAATCAAATATAGCAACTGATCGTGCAGTGGACATTATGACAACGATAATGTCCACTGTAATTTATGAGATGCAGCGATAATAGCAAAGCTGGGGATACTGGGGGTAGTGGTTTATACTATATGGGTCAAAGACACACTCATTTATGTATGGACTGCTTTATTTATTCATATAACGTGGTAACTGTGGCAATATATATAAAACGCACATGGTCACTGCGATATTGACAGATTGATGGATGATAGAACGATAGGATGTGATCCGATTTCAAATAAGTCATCCTAATAACACTTACTATATGACGTTATCTTATCCTTTAAACGAGCAATTCTTGTATATATATATATATATATATATATAATCGGAGTCTCGGAAACTGCTCCAGCGATTTTCATGAAATTTAGTATGTGCGTAGATTCGGGGGCGAAAAATCGATCTAGCTAGGTTTCATTTTTAGAAAATGCCCTTTTATCCCTGTTTTCAGGGAATGAAAAATATAATTCGAATATGACGGTAAATTTCGCCGCAAGAGAAAATGTCATGATAGCTCGGTCGGTAATCGGGCGGCCCCAAAACAGACGGCCGTGGTTCGCGTCACGATCATTTTTTACACATTTATTTTTTTACTTTTTTTTCGATTCCAGATCATTACTTTCTTTATTTTTAATTTTTTGTCGATTTGTTATTTTGTTATTTTTTCCCTTTTTTTTTTTAAAGTTCTTTCATTTGTGAAAAACATTATGCATATTTCATTACTCAGTAATTTGTATCTAGATGTAATTTCCAAAATACACGATTTACCAAAAAAAAAAAAACAAACAGGTTCTCCGGGTACTGTGTAATTATAAAATTAACTTTTATTCATTAAAAGATAAATTATTCATCATCATTTAATTTAATTTTTCAATATGTGACGCATGGGACAAAGGTTAACCTACATCATTTCTACTAAGGCAGTGGGCGTTGATGGAATTCATCATCAGATGATCCTTCTAATCTTGGATGAGCTTGTCCCAGTTCTCACCCATATTCTCAATTTCTCACTGACAACAGGCTCTTTCCCTTCGGTATGGAAAAAAGCACAAGTCATCCCCCTGCCTAAAACTTCCAATCCTTCATCTTTTTCACAATATCGCCCCATCTCTATTTTACCCATCTTGTCGAAGGTCCTGGAGAGCATTGTACAGCGACAGCTATCCTCCTTTTTAAACTTCAATGGTCTGCTAAGTCACTTTCAGTCTGGTTTCCATCCTGGCCACAGTACGGTTACGGCTCTCCTTAAGGTGTTTGATGACATTCGCCAAGCTATACTTAGTGAATCATCGGCACACCTGTGCACGCTACGGCTAGTAGTGGGGCTTCTAGTAAGCACACTCGCTGGCAGTCGACGCCAAACCTCCGTCCTGCGTTGAGCTCCGCTCCGCGACGTCGATTGGCTAGACATTAGCGGCGTGTACAGTCTATGTGACACAGTGCGACAGGACGCTTTATAGAACAGTTTTAAATTCAGTGTTTGTGCGCGTAAAGTGATCGTCGTAGTTTTTAACCAGTTTTAACCGATATTCGGGCCCCTTTTATTATAAAAGGGGCCGAATATGGTGCAAAGGTGAAGAACAAAGACATTCCACCGGGACACTAGCACAAATGTGCATATTTTAAATCAGTGTAAAATCAGTGTACCATGGCGGACAAGGGAAAAATCCCGCGTCCGTCGACTTCCAAGCCGAAGACCGCGCCCAAGCCCGTTAAGGCTAAGGTGCAGGCGCGGCCCGCGAGAGTCCGCAGCACATCAGCCCCCGAGCACGAGCCCGAGGTGAGTAAAAGACCTGTTACTCAGCGCCAGGCGGAGCGCGTTGCGACCACGGCTGATGAGTCGGCGCGATTACACGCCAGGCTCATCACCACCACTCCGCTGCAACCGCGCCCGCCGAAGAGCGCTAAACCTCGCACTTCCCCCGACGATTCAGATCGGGAGGAAAAGATTCCCAGGCGGGGCCCGACCCCCGCGCAACCAACGGACAGCGCCGCCGCCGCTCCGGCCGCGGTGCTTGTCCACGACGTGGTTCGTGACGGATGACGAGCCCCAGCCGGGGCCCAGCACGAGCGGTACGTCTATGCGTCAATACTCTGGCGCGGAAAGTAGCGGGGCTGCGACCGATTCAACGTCGTATGCGACGTTGGCCCCCGAGGTGGGGGAACGGCCCAGCCCTACCGTACCGCCGCCGAGTTACGCATCTATGACGTCCGCTCCACCATCTCCGAGCGCCGCCACACCCGGACCTTCCACGCAGCTCACGCAGCCCACACCCACGCCCAAACCGATGGAGGAGGATGCCAAAGGCTACCCTCCTATTATAGTCGAGTGCTTCCCAGACTGGACGAAGCACTTCGCCGAGCTGAAGAAACAGCTCGGCCACGCCCCGAACGCCCGATCTTTCGGGCGCGGTATGAGGTTCCGGCCCCAAACAGCCTCGGAATTCAGAGTGATCCAGAGATATCTGGTTACGGAGAGTAGCAGAGACCCTACGTTCGTGTGGTACTGCTACACTCCGGCAGACGACCTGCCCACTAAGGTGGGAATTCGCGGCCTCCCGACCGATACATCACCAGAAGAGGTGGTCGAGGACTTCATAAGGATGGGCTACCCGGCCACCTACGCTAGGATGATACCGCCCAGACGCGGCAGACCGGGGGCCCTTTTTCATTTGAAACTCGACCACCTAAGCCACGAACAGTTGGCAAACAGGCGGCGGCTGAGTCCACGCCTATTGCCCAACCTGCTGCCCCTCAACAGATTACGAAAGCCCCCCGTGGGCCGGCACCGGCCGCTACCGAAAGCAGCCAACGCCAACCTACTTCGAGGCCCACGGAGCGGCCGACGTTACCACACTTTCCAATCCTTCAAGGACACTCCCCCTCCAGGACTGCTGAACAGATCGAGATTGTGCAGCGGATCGAAGGGGCCATTTCTCAACTGATCAGGCTGATCACGGGTATTCTCGGTGACATCCTGGTCTCTGTTGCCACGGGCAACGATCCATTACAGGCGATAACGACCGCCATACAATCCTTGACTACGGCTCGCAGAGACCTCCTCCACTGACCTTAAAATCCTCTACTGGAATCCCGGCGGCATCAGACAGCGCATAGCCGATCTTAAGTGTCTCGTTAGGCAGCACGGCATTCATGTCGTGCTGCTTGGCGAGACCAAGCTCCCGGCGACTGGCACGCTGCGCATCCCCAACTTCGTCACGTATCGTAGGGACGAGGTCAATCCGGCGAACAACCGCCCCTATAGGGGGGTGGCCATTCTCGTCCGGTGCGACCTAATGCATGACGAGTTGGGGCTGGGCAGTTATGTCAGTACGTGCACTATAGGTGCAGCCATCTACATCGGCGGGCGGGAGATGCGCGTTTACTCGGCATACCGGTCTCCAAATTCCAAATTTTGTTCGGCGGACATCCGCACTATTTTTAACTCGGAAGTCCCCACTATCATCGCTGGGGACTTTAACGCTAAACATCCAGCGTGGGGGTCGCGTATCACCTCGCCCGCTGGCAGAGCGCTGTTTGATGACGCAGGGGTGGTCGGGTATGAAGTGCTCGGTCCGGACGAGCCGACTCATATCCCCACCACCCCACTACATCTTCCAGACGTCTTGGACATAGTGCTGTGTTATAAGATGTCGCGCCCTATTCACGTCGACGCTATTTACGACGCCGAGACGAATCATCTTCCAATTTTAATTACCGTGGGTATCGGTGCGGACTCACTGTTTCCGATACGTCCTAGATTCAGAACCGACTGGGTGGCCTACGGGAGAGCGATGTCTGACTTCAAATACGGCGAACCTATTTCAACTCCGGAGGATGTGGAGACGGCCGTCCACAGCATCAGCTGCAAAATGCAGGAGGTGCTGGGGGCGACGACTTCGGAGGTGAGATATGTGAGCCGTAGAGACGCGCTCCCCGGTAGGCTACTCGGCCGGATTCGGGAAAAAAGGCGTCTTCGGAGGCTTTGGGCCCGCACCAGATGCCCACGCATCAAGTCCAAATTGAATAAGCTCTCGGAAGAGCTGTCGATTGAGATTAAAAACCATCGCGGTACATTGTGGGAGGAGAGGATTGACGAGGCCTCTAGTTCCGTAACCTCCCTGTACCAACTCAATCGGCAGCTCGCCCGTGTTCCAAAACCCGCGTGCCCGCTTCTCGGGAGCGACGGGAGAAGGGCCGTAGCAGCCCTGGACCGGGCCGACGTCTTCGCACAGCACTTAGCGTTCCAATTCGTTCCTAATCCCTCCACTCCAGATACACTTCCCTTCCACACCCAGGTAGAAGAGAGCGTACAGGAGTTTTTAACTTCGCCAGTGCCTCAGCTGTCGGGTGACTTGTTCATCTCACTAGCTGAGGTACTTAGGGCGGTTAGGCGTCTCCCAAACCGGAAAGCACCGGGCATTGATGGCATTACCACCCTCGCCATCAAGCAGCTCCCTAAGAGGGGGATTGTGTCGCTGTGCCGTTTGTTCAACGGCATACTACGTACAGCACACTTTCCCTCTCAGTGGAAAGCCGGCAAATTAATTCTAATACCCAAACCAGGTAAGGACCGTCGGCAGCCGGCAAGCTACCGTCCTATTGCACTTTTATCACACCTTTCCAAATTATTTGAACGCCTCCTGCTGGGCAGGATTGTTCCCTGCATTGCACTGCGCAGGGAGCAGTTCGGCTTTCGCAGGGGACACTCCACAACTTCACAACTCACCCGCGTGCTACACTATCTCACGGCCCAGGTCAACCGGGGCCGTGTCGGTCTGGGGGTCCTTCTCGATATGGAGAAGGCCTTCGACCGAGTGTGGCATGCGGGCCTAGTACACAAACTTCTCAATAACAGCGACACTCCACATCTCATAGTAAAACTTTTGGCTAGATTCCTACAGGGGCGGAGCTTTGTCGTCACTGTCGACGGAGCCCTTTCGTCCCCCTATAGCATGAATGCCGGCGTTCCACAGGGGAGTTGCCTCTCTCCAATCCTGTACGCCCTCTACACCAACGACATCCCTACCGTAGAAGAGCCCAACCCGGGTTGGGACGAGAGCGTGCTGTTGGCGCTTTATGCGGACGACAGCGCGTTCTTTACCTCTTCACACAATACGGCGCACGCAGCTAGGAAGATGCAGCTAGACCTACTGCCACCTTGGCTCGACAAGTGGAGGATGTCTGTCAACGTTGACAAGACGTCCTCCATTTACATTAGGAGGGTGCATAACCCGCCCACGCTCGAGCTGCGAGGTCGAGCTATTTCATCAGAGTCTCATATCACGTACCTCGGATGCAGGATCGACCGCTCGCTGCAAATTGTCCCCCAAGTCGACCATGTGGTCCGACAGGCCAGAGCGGCAAAGGCGGTCCTACGACCCGTTCTTGCATCCGAGCTACCATTGCGGTCAAAATTGGCCATTTACAAATCTTATATACGCTCACGCTTGACCTACGCAGCCCCGGCGTGGTATGGGCTGTGCTCTCCGAAGCAGAAAGATAGGCTACAGGCGCTGCAAAATCTCACCCTGCGTGCGATCGTGGGAGCTGGGCGATACGTCCGAAACGAGCAACGTTTAAGCTTACCTTTTGTACATTACCTTTTTAAACATTTTTTTTGTATCCTGTGTTTTGTGTACAATAAATACATAAATAAATAAATAAATAAATTATTTCTGTTATTAATATCGTACATATGAAATTATGATATTCTAATCTAATTAAAACTAAATAAGTTACTAAAAATTAACATAATACAACTATAATTAATACAAATATAATTACTTAAAAACTAACTACTTGTTTAAACAATAAAAAAACAAAACTAAACTAGATAAAAAATGCTGGCTAAATCGCCGCCGTCTGCGGGCAGCGTGCCCAGCAAGCTGGCTGAGTTGCCACGCTGTATCGCGAGGCTGATTCGCTAGCCAAAGTACGAGCCAGCTCTTGGGTCACCAGGAATGGTAACCAGACGCGAGCAGATATCATTTGTACAAACGTTTCGCGTCTGGTCCCACGCCAAACGGCACAAATATATAGCCTTCGCGAAGGGCTATATTTGCGGCGCTTCATACACTCCGCCGTCGCTGCAGCATTGCCTGCCTTGCGAGCAGTTCCCGTTAACGTGCGACGGCGCTAACGCGTCAACACAAGTTGCATCCCGGACCAAAGTGCGCCCGTTTTTCCAGGGAGGAGCGTCATTCCGTCAGACCTTTTGCCACCGTTACGAAATATACCGTTTGGCTCTAAAACGGCAGGTACACTAGCACTTATTGAGGCCCGAACAATAACGTCATTAATTGCAGCATGGCGAGGTATACGACCAGCGCTGCGCTGGCACGCTAGGCCATGATGATCCAGATGGGCAACCTCTTTAAAACAACGGCAGCGATATGTCTCATTGAGTTTTACTCCTAGTCTCAGGCTAGCTGCAAAAGAAAATGAGGTCTTGTCTAACAGAGTGCCTATATGTATTGAAGGCAATGCATCAATATTATTGCATCATCATAATTTCAGTCTGTTTTCCGACTATTGAACAAGACTTGCTTTAAGTTTTGTTTCAAAACTTTCCTTGGTGCAACCAGCACACACAATAATTTCTTAAGTAATTCTTGTATTCAATTGCATTATCTCTTCCTTTGCAAACATGGGTGATGGTTTTTAATCGTTGCTGTTCTTTTGGGGAAAGAAATATTAAGAAAAGGTCGTAAAAAAGTTGGATAATAATATATGGATAATAATAAATAAATCTCAATTAAATATATTAAATCGGGACAATCTAACTTGAACACTTATTATTGACCCATTTTTTTTTTAAATAAACGGCCCTTTTAAAACGTTCAACACTTGAATTAAAAATTTGTCGTCACAACATCCTGTAAATGGGCCTTTTTTACCTTACCTTTTTACTACCACTTTTCGTAGGGTAGGAACTAAAGACCTTTCCGGGAGCTTTGGAACCCATAACTACTTGTTCTGTTACGGCACTATATCCTTCCGAAATTAAGATACAAACTATCTTTTCGAAAAATAAAAATG